GGCTGATGGAAGAAACCAAAACAGGAGCTTATGTGCCTCACCTAAGGTACCTCCTGGATGACAACAATTGGACAAAATTTGTGCATGCACAATACAGTAGGATTCACTGAAAGGACTGGTCAGACTTGTAGGGCAGGCCGTGAGAGAGGCGGTCAGCAGGACTACAAGAGGAGGACTCATTTGATCAGAATCTAAAATCCTTTCTGCCAACCTTTCTACCAAGCCCCCAGGGCCCATCACACACAACCGTGTGCTGTAACTGTTTTTGATTCCTGTTACCACATCTCCTTCAGGAAGGATTTTAAGGTGGAAAATATTTAAAATCAGTAATTGTTCCCAGAAGGGACATAAAACAAGGAACATGGAAACAACACAAATGTCCATCAGCACATGACTGGATAAAGATGAGGTGATACATATCTACAATGGAACACTACTCAGCCATAAAAGATGCCATTTGCAGCAACATGGATGGACCTGAAGACTGTCATTCTGAGTGAAGTGGGGTGGTAAGAGAAAGAAAAATGCCATATGACTTCATTTATGAGGAATCTAAAATTATAGCAATAATAATGACCACAAATGAACTAATTATTATTTTGATTTCTTGAATATGTGTAGGCACATCTGACTGTCCTTTGTGATTAGATTGCCATATTCTGTTATTATTCTTTGGTAGTTGTCTTTATTTCTCTGGTACTGTAAGTTTAAAAATCTAAAGCTCTAATCTGTTCTTAGAAACAATAATTAGTACATATATGTAAACTAAAAAATATGCAGTATACTCTATACATGTATTTATATGCAATATGTATATGTGGAGTTGAACTGTAATAATTCTACCTAATAAAACTGAAAAAGGAAAAAAATAAAAATTTATTTAAAAAATCACCCCTCTTTAGATATTAAAACATTCAGTTCTGAGATTCTGTGAAAGACAACATGGAAGTAGGTTTTTAAGTTTTTCTCCGTGGTGCACCTCAGTGAGCAGCCTTGGCTGCACAGCTTGGCCGCCACAGGCAGCCAGGACTTGCCGGCTTGCTCCTCACTTGTTGGGAGGAAGGTTAGCTGCTTCAGGAATATTTATGCTCTTAGAAGTTGCTGAAAACCCCACAGAGCTTCTGTGTATATGGAGTGTATCTGTCAATATACTCCATTTTAGAAATTAGAACAGAAAATTTTAAACCCAAGAACTGACAGGCACATGCTATCCCAGCATGTGGTCAAAGCAGTGCTGCCACACTGGCTTGTGTTGGTTCTAGAAAAAATGCACCGTACACTCAAGAATGAGGGTGAACCCACAGATCTCATCTCAGCAATGCTATGAAGAGATGGGAACTTAAGCCCTTAAAACAGTGCTGAAGTCCCCAGATGTCCTAGAACACACAGAGCCATGGGACCAAGAATCCAGTGTCTAGCGGATCATCAGCCATGGAGACCGAGTCCTGGGTCAGGAGGAGCAGAAGTAGGGATAGCAGGCACACAGTCCTATTGACAGCAAAGCTTTAAAGGTGTTGAATTGACTAAAAGTTTGGCAAAGATTTGCATTTAGAATATTACATTTCCTCTCTGGGAGACGTTAGAAGGATAACACTGATTGACAGAGGATAATTGTAATGGATTAATTATGATACTGATGACATGAGCTGCTAACACTAACCCTGCACTCAGTGTAGACTAAGCCTTTTATGTACATACTTCATTAGTTCTCCACACCCCTGCAAGGTGACATTAAGCACTCATACAACCATGAAACCAGTGACTATAACAGTCACAAGTCTTCCTCTCCAGCATGAGGTAGCAAAACAAACAATGATTTTCAATGACAAAAGCCAAAATCATATATATTTGGGAAAGAAAGCAAACGAAACACTGAAGGACAATAAACCAAAAGAGCAGAAGGAATGGAAACTTTTATTGAAGAAAGCAATGATTGATTCAATTAAAACAGCTAATGTCCCTGGTATAATTGAACCATCAATGCAAATTTTTGGAACAGCGGGTTGTGAAATTACTGTCTCATTTAATATTGGAATTCCTATTTGGACCAATTTGATATGCATCACTGGTGCGAGGTTAGCTATTTAGGTAAATAACAATATTCCTATTTTTTAAGTAAACAGGAAACATAACACAGGACTCCAGATTTAGGGAGAGAATGCAAACAACTACTATCATACTCCATCCAGTATGGACACGTGTCCCTGCGTCACCAAAGCAGTGAGAGTTTGCACACAGAAAACACAGTTCTCCAATTTTGACAAATACGAGACCGTGGGCCATGAATTACAAGAACAAGCAACTGTTTAAATGCCATGGGCAAATTTTTTTATCATCTTGTAAACATCACTGATGTTCTAAGTAAGAAAAAGAATTGTTTTACTAACAAATCCAACTGACACAGGGGTTTTTCCAAGTGAGAGGGTGATTC